AAGATGATATCCCCCAGGCATGGGAGCCAGGGGGAGCTCATGCCTCTTTGATTATGAACTACATGTATTAGGTCACTGAAAATAAGGGGGGTTGGTAGAGGCCCCCAAAAGGAGCCTCTGGCCGAGTGTGTTGATTTGCTAGCATGGAGCATTATCCCTGGGCTCATCTGGGATGAGCTTTTCAATGGCTTTTCAGTTGCAAGGAAATTCTGTGGCCACATTTCCTCCAAATAACATTTCATCTTCATTAGAGATGGCCATAGTGTTATTAACTTAATAGGGAGTTCCAAGTGACTATTTTCCAAAGAACACACCTAAGGGTGGGGATGAAGGAAGACAAACGCACTGACATGTAGATACCAGTTCCAATAAGTTCAAGTTGTTAACTGCCCCCAAACATTTGATCATGCTTGTTCATACAGTTAATGCAAAGAATTAAGAGCCATGTGGTTGCTTTGGGATGTCCTTGCAGGCCAAGAGTAATGGTATGCTTCAGATACTGACCATTCAGAAACTATACCTGATCAATCAGAATGGTCATCCTACCAGTTAGCACTGGCCTTTGACAAACCACAACAGTTGTTCCTGCCTAGCTGGTAGGTCCCAGCTGATTATCTGTCTTTGCAGGCAGCTCGTAGAGGCTCAGTAGGTCTCCAGTGCTTCCCTGCTGACTCAGAGGTAAGGAATCCGCCTGCCAATGCAGGAGACATGGGTTGAATCCCTGGGTCAGGAAGTCCTCCTGGTGAATGAAATGGCAATCCACTCCAGAATTCTTGCCTGGGAAGAATTGTAGTCCACAGAGGAGCCTGGTGGGCTACAATCCATGAGGTCACAAAAGAACCGGACATGATTGAGTAACCAAACAACAGCAGCAACAACAGCAATGTCTCCAGCAGGTTTTGAACACAGACTTTAGGAGAAACAGAGCATATACAATTATTATCATTTCTCTCAAGTGGCACACCAGACATTTTTTGTAGGGGGGCAGGGCTGCTAACAACATTCTAAATCATAGAAGGGGTCAGATGAGTAGGACAACTACACTTTGTCTAAACAGAGGCCCTATCTACCAGCATTGGGGAAAACCTAGGCTCTAATTACAAATGGGAGTTCCTGACTTGTCCTCAGTCTCACCAGAAACGATGACAGTGGTGAAGTCACTGTCAGCACCCCACAGCCCTGGGCTGTATCTGTCATGGCCTGATGTGTGTCACTATTTGTGTTGGTCTTTCTTTTTAAGTTATAATTAAACATAAAATTTCCTCTCCAAATGGAGAGTCAATGTGATTTCTCCCTATATCCAGCTGAGCCCCCATTTCTGCTCTGCTGAGCTAACCTGGAACTTTTTTGGTTAACCTCCAGCAAAGAATTAAGAAAGGAGTTGCTGGTACTAGCTAGACTTCAACTCTTCCTGGCTTGGAACAATGGACTGCACATCAGAATCACTTCGGTGGCTTCTAAAATATTGTCCATGCTTAGATCCCACTCCTGAACAACTGACTTAGAATCACTGGAGAAATTTCTTTAAGACCAATGTCCAGCAAAGACACCACCAAAAAAGAAAATTATAGGCCAATATCTGATGAATATAGATGCAAAAATTCTCAACAAAATATTAGCAAACTGAATCCAACAACACATAAAAAATATCATGCACCATGACTAAGTGGGATTCATTCCAAGTTCACAAGGATAGTTTAGCATACACAAACCAATCAATGTGATGCACAAGATAAACAAAAGACAAAAGACACATGAATCATCTCAATAGGTGTAGAAAAAGCATCTGACAAAATTCAACATCAATTCATGATAAATATCACCAAAGTGAGTACAGAGGGAACATATCTCAAGATAATACAAGCTATTTATGACAAGTCTACAGCCAATATAACACTAAGTGGTGAAAAATTGAAAGACTTCCCACTAAAATCTGAACAAGGATGCCCACTCTCACCTCTTCCATTCAACACAGTACTGGAAGTCCTAACCACAACCGCCAGACAAGAAAGAGAAATAAAAAGTATCCAGATTGGAAGAGAAGAAGTAAAACTGTCTTTATATGCACATGATATGATACTGTATATAGAAAAATATCTACACAAATTATCTACAAAAGACTCTACACAAAAGCTATCAGCACTGATAAATAAATTCAGCAAGGTAGCAGGATACAAGATTAACATACAGAAAATGTTGTATTTCTTTATACCAACAACAAAATATCAGAAAGGGAATGTAAAACAAAACCTTTTAAAATCACAACCCCCAAATAAAGTATTTAGGAATAAACTTCACCAAGGATGTGAAAGACTTATACACTGAGACCTATAAAACATTAATAAAGTAAACTGAAGATGATTCAAAGAAATGGAAAGATAACCCATGCTCTTGGATTGGAAGAATTAATATTGTTAAAATGGCATACTACCCAAAGCAATCTACAGATTTAATGAGATCTACATCAAATAACTCATAGTATTTTTCACAGAACAAGAACAGATGATCCTAAAATTTATATGGGACCATCAAAGACCTAGAATTGCCAAAACAGTCCTGAAGAAAAAGTACAAAGCAGGAGGCATAACCCTTCAAGACTTCACACAATACTACAAAGCAACAGTAATCAAAACAGCATGGTATTGGCATAAAAATAGACATATAGATCAATGGAATAGAATAGAGAGCCCAGAAATGAACCTACACACCTATGGTCAATTAATCTTCAACAAAGAATCCAAGAATATACAATGAGAAAAAGATAATCTCTTCACAAGTGGTATTGGGAAAGTTGGACAGCTACCTGTAAATCAGTGAAGTTAGAACACACCCCCTTATCATACAAAAAATAAATTCAAAATGGCTTGTGAAGTCACTCAGTTGTGTCTGACCCTTTGCGACCCCATGGATTGTAGCCTACCAGGCTCCCCTGCCCATGGGATTTTTCCAGGCAAGAGTACTGGAGTGGGTTGCCATTTGCTTCTCATTTCCTTCCTCCCCTGACCCAGGGGTTAAGCCTGGGTCTCCTGCATTGCATGCAGATGCTTTAAAACTCTCACATCCATACATGACTACTGGAAAAACCATAGCTTTGACTAGATGGATCTTTGGTGGCAAAGTAATGTCTCTGCTTTTTAAAACACTGTCTAGGTTGGTCATAGCTTTTCTTCCAAGGAGCAAGCATGGCTGAGCTTCAGGGAAGCCCTGAATACTTATAAGACATGAAACCATAAAACTCCTAGAAGAGAACACACATTCTCTGATATAAATTGTCAAATGTTTTCTTACTCTTAAGGCACTAGAAATAGAAACAAAAATAAACAAATGGGACCTAATCAAACTTACAAGCTTTTACACAGCAAAAGAAATGATAAACAAAATGAAAAGATACCTACAGAATGGGAGAAAATATTTGCAAACAATGCAACTGATAAAGGATTAATCTCCAAAATATACAAACAGCTCATACAGCCACAAAAAACAAACAACCCAATCCAAAGATTGGCAGAAGACCTAAATAGACATTTCTCTAAAGAAATACAGGTTGCCAATAGGCACATGAAAAGATGCTCAATGTCACTAAATATAAGAGAAATGCAAATCAAAATACAATGAGGTACCACCTTACACTAGTCAGAATGGCCACCATGAAAAAGTCTACAAAGTAAGAAATGCTGGAGAGGGTGTGGAGAAAAGGGAACCGTCCTTGCAGTCACTATGGAAAGTAGTGTAGACATTCTTCAGAAAACTAAAAATAGGATTACTATGTGATCTAGAAATCCCATTCCTAGGTACGTATCTGGAGAAAACCATAATTCAGAAAGATACAGGGACCCCAGTGTTCACTGCAACACTGTTTACAATGACCAGGACATGGAAGCAACCTAAATGTCATCAACAGATGAATGGATAAAGAAGATGTTGCATGTATATACAATGGAATAGTACGCAACTATAAAAAAGAATGAAATAATGCCATTTGCAGTGACATGGATGGATCTAGAGATTTTCATACTGAGTGAAGTAAGTCAGACAGAAAAAGACAAATATATTATATTGCTTATTTGTGGAATTTAAAAGAATGGTACAGATAAGCTTGTTTGTAGACCAGAAATGGAGTCACAGATGTGGAGAAGAAGCTTGTGGTAACCACAGGGAAATGGGGGCGAAGGATAGATTGCGAGGTTGGGGATTGACATATATACACTACTATATATAAACCATCAATAGATAGCTAATAAGAACATGCTGTATAGCATAGCAAACTCTACTCAAAATCAGGTAATGACCTATAAGGGAAAAGACTAAGAAAGAAAGGATGTAGGTACATGTGTAGTTGATTCACTTTCCTGTATGGCAGAAAGCAGCACAACATTGTCAATCTAATATACTCCAATAAAAGTTAACTAAAAAGACGCGAAAAGTACATGTACCCTATGTTTGTAGCAGCACTCTTTAGAATAGCCACACATGGAGATAATCTAAATATCCACTATAGATGAACGGGTATAGAAGGTGTGGTATGTATATACAATGGAATACTACTCAGCCATAAAAAAGAACAAAATAATGCCATTTGCAGCAACATGAATGCAACTAGAGATGATCATACTGTGAAGTAAGTAAAAAAGAGAAAGACAAATACCATATGATATCACTTATATGTGGAATCTAAAAAAATGATACAAATGAACTTATTTATAAAACAGAAACAGACTCACAAGACATGAAAAATAAACTTATGGTTACCAAAGGGGAAAGAAGGGGTAGGGATATAGTTGAAATTAAAAGATATAGATTACTATATATATGATAGATGAGCAAGGACCTACTGCATAGCACAAGATAATATACTCAATATTTTGCAATAACCCATAATAGAAAAGAGTCTGAAAAAGAATATATAGGCACAACTGAATCACTTTGCTATATACTATAAACTCCACAAATCAACTATATGTCAATACAAAATAAAAATTAAGAAAACAAAGCTGTCTTACCTGGCTCCAGCTGGAGAAGGCCCACTCCACACACAAGTGCTGGTTACAGGCCTGGGTGTCGACTGGCCGCTTGGCAAGCTGTGTGCACATGTCACTGGACACAGGAGTGGAGACCCCTGAGGCTCTCAACTTCTGGCAGGTCACCCGGCGGGTCTGGACGCCTCCCCCACAGCTCCGGGTGCAGGCCGACCAGGAGGTCACCATCCACCTGGAATAGGAAGGAGGGTGAGTGCAGAGGGCCAAGCCATGAGCAGAGAAACAATGCCATACACGCTCAGGAAAGGAGCCCCACGGCAGCCTCCTGTTCTTACTACACAGCAACTAACTGCGGGGCCGTGTCTCTTTTCACAGAATATACCTGGGGTGGTAGGCTAAAAATGCCACCCCCACCCCTCCCAGATAGCTACATGAAATCATCCCTGGAGCCTGTGAATGTTACCTTATTTGGACAAAGAGTGTTTACAGATAAGAGTTAAAGATTTTGAGATGAGCTTGTCCTGCATTATCTGGTTAGTCATTAAATACCATGACATGTTCTCGTAAGAGAAAGGCAGAGGGAGCTCTGACATGGAAGAGGAGGGGACAGGGTGACCACAAAGGCAGAGACTGGAGTGCTGTGGCCACAAGCCAAGGGATGCCTGCAGTCACCAGAAGCTACAAGGACCCAGGAACTGATTCTCTCCTGGAGACTCTCCTGGAGGGGGTGTGCAGCCCTGCTGACATCTTGATTTTGGACTTCTGGCCTCCATAATTAGAAGAGAATAAAAGTCTATCATTTTAAGCAACCATGTTTGTGGTAATTTGCTATGGCAGCCACAGGAAATAAATGCCCTTTGGAAACTGATTAAAAAGGCAGACTGTGAAAGAGCTTTGTTAAGATCAGTCACTTTATCTTAATATTGGCCCCCAAAGCTGTGAGCTTGCAGATGAAACCCTCAGGGAAGCCAGTCCTTTAACCAGTTACACTGCACTGCAGTTCTGATTCTTCCTAAAGGCATTCAAGTGTGGGGCAGAGAAGGGCCTGTTTCCCAGGGAAGATCAGATCCAAACCTGGGTCGCTTCCTGACCCCAGAGGCAGTCTGGGTCTCAGTTAAGCCAAGTTTTGTCTGCTAGTACTCACTGTTTTTCCTACCTCGCCTTAAACCACGTCTCATTTGATTTGTTTAATCCCCCAGAAGCCTACGAAGTTCCTTCCAGCTTTCTGGAGCAATTTCCCACCTCCATGAGTCACAGTCCATAGGTCTTATACCTCTCAGAGGGTGGTTTATGTGGTGACAGTAGTTGTTCTCAGGATGTTAAGTTCCAGCTGCAATTTGGATCCTCAGAAGTGAGACTGACCAGGACTGTGACAAATAGCTTTCCTCATAAAGCCAAGCTATAAGCTGGGAAACACTCTGAAATCCTTGGACTGTATACAGATATGGAGGGGTTCTTTTTGGATGTGTGTACCCTGTGCTAATTCTGAAAGAGAAGGGGAAGGAGGTGTAGTTTGGGGAAAAGATTTGGTTCTTTCCAGCCATTTCATTCAACCTAGAATAATAATTTTTTTTTTTTTTTTTTTACTTTATTGCTTTAGTGGGGGGAAAATGATCTAAATGAAGTGGCTGACACAGCTACCTGGGTCAAAGTGTGACTTCACAGTGCGATTCAAAAAGACAACCAGGGCCACACTTGTTTGTGTGCAGAGGAGGGGGCTGACATGCCCAGGAAGCCTGGTGGGGAAGCCAGTCAAAGATGAGCCTGTGGCCACTTCCTAGTCCAATGGTGCCACATCTGGCTTTCAGGAGAGGTAAGTAGTAGGAACAGGGAGCAAATTTCTCCTGAATCTGGATCTGTGACTTATTTAGTTTGGTGGAACTTCTCTGCTCTGTTCGCCTTGGAGAGAGATGACTGTGTGCAGATTCCTAACCCACAGGAGCAGAGCCACTTAGGAAGCAGGCAGAAGGTGTTTTAAAGCCCCTTGAGGGTGCTGAAACCCAAGCAGACCCGGCCATTATTTCATCTGCAGAAGTAAATGACACTGATTGACTCTGACTATCACCACAGCAAATCAAAATGTCCCTGGCATGTCCATGACCTCTTCTTCATTTTACACAGCTTGGCAAAGGCAGTCTTCCAGCCTCTCATATCCCTGGTGAATGTCAGGCCTGCCTTTCAATCAGCTTTTATTTCCAAATATACATTTCAGCAATTTTTCAGGAGCTGGGGTGGGGGCTTTAAGAAAGGAGAGCTACGGGCTATGTTACAGTTCAGGAAGGGTATAAAAGGACATTAATCATTCCCGTGGAAACCTTCCCGTCAGCAAGTCAAACTGCTGATATTAATGAGTGTGTTTCATATTTCATTGAGGCTCTCCTGGTTTCAGCTGCTCCTTATGACTCAGCTGGAAAAACACAAAGTGGTTGCCTAAGGAGTGGGTGAACATCCCACAGATAGGCCGTGAAGGGGTGTTTCAGGGCTCGGCCAAGTCTCCCCAGGCTCAGGGCGCCATGTAGGTGCCAACTCCAAGCCCATCCATTATTCCTTTAGCTGCTGCCTGACATGGTGGGGGGTGCGGGGGAAGGGCACGGCTCAGTGAGACTCACGGCTGCTCAAAGCTCAAGGAAGGTGGAAGAGGCAGAGACTGGGTGTTGTTCTGGGTTATGTAAGGAACCCAAATGCAGAGAATGTACATTTGGCCCCCGAACAACACAGGTATGACCCACACGGGTACACTTGTACTCAGATTTCTTTCACTAAATACCTATTAGAGTACTACATCATCTATAGATGGGAGCACCAACTATACAGTTGAGGATGGATTTTTGACTGCTCAAGGTCACTGTCCCTAACCTCTGTGGAGCTCAAGGGTCAACTGTAAACCCAAAGTTGAAGCAACTATGGGAAATGAAAATTTATTTCAACGTTAGCAAGAAGCAAGCCTTTGTAGAAGAGAGGATAAAATTTCCTCAGCTAAAGTGGATGAGCAAAGGTATATAGTTAGAAGAAAGGGGAGGGGCTGGGGTATAGACAGGTGATCACTATCCCCTAAGCACTTCAACCGCAACATGTTGTTTTTCCTCTTAAAACCAGCCTTCTTGCTGCAGGATGGGAACTCTCTCTTGCCAGGGCCTGGGATGTTCTCAGCCCCTAAACTGACCTTTTCAGGCCCTTGGGAAGCCCAGGCAGCTTTAGCTGAGTGGTGAGGGGACAAACAACCAAGAAAGGAGGCTTGTCCTGGGGGATGTTTTCTGTGCAGTGGGGAATCTGGTGGGCCGGGGCCGACAGAAAGCATGGCTCCTCGGCCATAAGGCTCCCTCACCGGCACTCAATATCTCTCACGCTCACAGTGCGTAACCAGGGCTGGCCATGAGCCTGGCTGCAAGTCCAGGCCCATCCTGGGGAGGGGCTGGTGCACTCACCGGGAAGGGCAGTCTCTCCGGTTGCAGGCGATAGGCTGTGCAGCAGGGCGCACCTTCCCTGCGCAGTGAGTGGGGTCCACCTCCGTGCTGTTTAGGAGACACCGCAGGCGGGGCTGCTGAACCCCCCTGTTACCACAGGAGGCCGAGCAGGTTGCCAGTCTGTCCACAGACCACCAGTAATCTGTCACGGGAGGAGTATCAGAGGTGAAAAGAAGGTACTGTCACGGGAGGAGAATCAGAGGTGAAAAGAAGGTAGCATCAATGTTCATGCTGTTCCTTCTGAGCAGAGGTGGGGCAGGGAGGGCACGAGATGCTGTTATGAATGAGGCTGTGCCCCGTGATGCTTCCTGTGGTGCAGTGGTCAAGAATCCACCTGCCGATGTAGGAGATGCAGGTTTGATCCCTGGGTCAGGAAGATCTCCTGAAGAAGGAAATGGCAACCCACTCTAGTATTCTTGCCTGGGAAATCCCATGGAGAGAGGAGCCTGATGGGCTACATCCATGGGGTTGCAAAGAGTTGGATACATGACTTAGTGACTAAAAAAAAGTGCCCCTCAGTGGGCTCCATTCCCAACAGATCTGGGCAAGTCACGTGGTCTCCAAGGGCCTCAGCTGGCTCATCCATAAAGTGGGTACAGTTCCCTTATCTCATCATGCTACTGGAGAACAGGATATAAAGAAAGTACAGGGCCTGGCCCTGGGCCTCCCAGGTGGTGCCAGTGGTAAAGAACCCGCCTGCCAATGCAGGAGACATAAGGGATGTGAGTTTGATCCCTTGGTCAGGAAGATCCTCTGAAGGAGGGCATGGCAACCCACTCCATTCTTGCCTGGAGAATCTCACGGACAGAGGAATCTGGTGGGCTACAGTCCATGGGGTTGCAAAATGTCAGACATGACTGAAGCAATTGAGGATGCATGAAGCACTGGGTCTAGCCCAGGACCTGGCACACAGAACTTCATCAGTGGCTGTGGCGCTCATATTTTTAAACCTACTTCCTAAAGTACTTTTATTCCCCTGTTGGTTTACCAGAAGGTGACTTTATTTTTCAACAAAGAGATATAAAAATACAAGAGATACTCAACAATGATATTTAAAAGTTCATATTAGAGCTGGACTTTGTATATGTTACAGAAAAATAGTCTATTCAGAGAATATTCATTTATGGAGACTATGACGTCAGCCAGAAAGACCATTTCTTTGGGTTTTCTATTGGGGGGTCTGGGACTCACTGGTAAGAGAACTGTTAAAAATAACTGTGGGCTGGTAAATTTTGAGTGCTTATTTGTACAGTTGTGTTTTACAAAACTTGCAGAGGGACACTGCCTTCTGGTTTTTAGCAGAGACTGGCTGGCTGACAAGAAAACACAACACTGACTTTCCTATCTGGAAGGCCAAATGGTGGTGGAGGGTGTTTAAAGGGAAAACCTACAGACTCAGAAAAATCTCCATCCTCATGTGCTGTTCTGGAACGAACTCTGGCCCTTCCCACGGAAACCTCCATTTTAGGATACATGCAGCAGAATTTTGCTTTCCTTATAAGTATTACATACAGGCCACAGGTAGGACCAGCCTATGAAAAACTCAAAGGCCTCACTTAGTTTCTATAACAAGGACAGTTTGGGCTCCTTTCCCACTCTTCTGGGCTCATTTGCTACCCTTTCTTGGGGCTGTGAATGCAGGCCCCATCCAAAGGCTCTTGGACCCGCCCATGTGCCTGGCACATGAATGTGTGAGCTACACAGACTCCTCAGTCTGCGCGTGGACAGACCACAGGGCGGGGGCCAGGCGAGCACTTGACATGTGACTGCAGTGAAGACTTCTGCGTGACCCACCAGTCCTGGTGCCAGCCCCGGCTCTCCAAGGCAGGGGACAGTAACCACATGGTTCACATCAAGAGGAAATGTTAAACCAACCCAACAGAGAAAACTTATATTTTCCTAACAGGCAAGTATGTGTGTTCTTTAGTGGTTGGGCCAGCATAAAAGAAACGTCTGCTCTCCTATATGGTGCTATCTCCTTGGTCCTAAGCAGCAGTAACATGATGAGCAGAAGGGCACATCTATGAAAGTAGCACTGACTTTTCCAGGTTCTGCTGAGATGCAGATAAGTGGCTTTTCTGGAGAGAGCCTCATGGTATGACAACATGGTTGGGTTTCCATTTTCACACTGTTAAGAACCACTGGGGATCAGAAATCCCTTTGTTCTGCTAGAGAATTAGATTCCCAAGTAGACTCTCTTTTTCAAGAAGCAAGCCTGGCACCCAGGTCCTGAAGGGTTTCTTACCTTGGATCACTAAAGAGGCCTTCTGCACGAGCATTCCTGCCTCATTCTGAGCAAGGCAGCTGAAGTCCCAGTGAGATCCGCCACTAAGATTTGCAACCTGGAGAATCTGTCCAGCTGCCAAGATATGATACATCAGTCCTGTGACATTGGCCACTGGCTGCTCACCATGGAACCAGGTAATATTGGGAGGAGGGTCGCCTTTGACAGGGCAGCCTAGAAGGAGAGGAGAGGAGAGGTTAAGTCATGGATACAGCCAAAAAGGACACATTCCTGATGAGCTGCTTGACTGTGTCCATGGATTTTGAGGCCATACATTCAGTGTCACTGCCCTAGGACATTCCCAAGCAAATAGGAGATATTTCTGTTCTCTGGGATACTGGGAAAGTGACTATTACTCATTCAACTAAAGGAAAAAATCCTGGGGAACATGAAGTACCTATTTTAATCTATGTCCCAGTAATAATTTAAAAAATGACACAATTAAGATTTACTCATTAAATGTGATTTCACAGATTAATTAGTTCCTATGACATTTTTAAAAATTCTAGGATAACTGCTTTACAATATTGTGTTGGCCTCTGCCATAAATCAACATGAATCAGTCACAGGTATACATATGTCCCCTCCTGAGCCCGCCTCCCATCTCCCACCCCTCTAGGTTGTCACAGAGAACTGGGTTGAGCTCCCTGTGTCATAAAAACACATTTCCACTGGCTGTCTGTTTTACATATGGCAATATTATGTTTCAATGCTACTCTCTCCATTCATCCCACCCTCTCCTTTCCCACTGTGTCCACAAGGCTGTTCTCCATGTCTGCATCTCCATTGCTGCCCTGCAAATAGGTTCATCAGTACCATCTTGTACACATATTAATATACAATATTTGTCTTTCCCCTTTTGACTTACTTCACTTTGTATAACATGCTCTTATACTGAAAGAAGTCACTTCTTCAAATGTAATGTTTTGGGGGAAAACCCCATGTACTAAATAGTGGTGATTAAGAATCAAACTTTAATTGGTAAATGTCTAATGTTTGCCTCCATTTTACTCTTTATGTGATTTTCAAGCCCCAAATTTTCAACAGAGACTAGAAAAACAATTTTAAACCCTGATCTCATTTCTCTGTAAGTCAAGAACTTTGGTCTTTTGACAGCTCTTCTGACAACTAAGCCTGCATTGGACATGTACAATGCCATACTTATTACACAGTCATTTAACTTACTTTGTTACATTAAAATTATGAAATATTAAACTGAGATATGGTGTCTATTTAGCAGCATAAAATTAGTAAAATAAACTGCAATTGTGAGAGAAAACTCATTACCTCTAAATTTGTACTTGCTGAATTTGCTGTTATGACTGAATCCAGAAATTTAGCTTCCAGAGAAAAATTATTTGAAAATTTCAAAATGCAAGATAAATCATTCAAAGTAAAGATACTAGAGGTTTTTTACTCAGTTCAGTTCAGTTGCTTAGTTGTGTCCGACTCTGTGACTCCATGGACTGCACAGTTCACTTAAAAAAACCACTATAATATTGTAAAGTAATTAGCCTCCAACTAATAAAAATAAATGAAAAAAAATATGTATTTGACGCCTAGTGTTCTGGGGACAGTTAAGTAAGTTATGACTGTCTTCTCTTTTTTAAGGAGATCTCAACTGGTATGGGATGCAAAAAAGCACACCAATAAAGCTGAGATGTAGGGAGAAGAGGGGAATCAGTGAGACACACAGATGGTCACCTGCACGGATCTGTGTCCTTATGGATCTGTATGGGGAATGGATCTCCTGACATTGACTTGTCCTGTGTTCTGGGGGCAGCACTGTTAGGATTTTTATAAGAGGGCAGTGTTAACACAGGAAAGGTCTTGAAAGAGATGATCTAGCTTACTGCCAGAGGCCCAGATATGTTAAGAAGTGTTAAGAGACAATGATGTAAAGTAATTAGCCTCCAACTAATAAAAATAAATGGAAAAAAAAAAGAAGTGTTAAGAGACCATTCCAAGATCAAAGTCAAACCTTCTATCTGACTCATTGCTTTCTGTTCTTTCCTCCATACCTACTACTTGTCTGGCTGGGCACCAATAATTTATTCGGTTGGCCAAAAAGTTTGTCCGAGTGTTTGGCCAACTCAGTACTTAGGCACTTTGATACTTCCTTCCATTGTCTGCTTACTCCCGTTATTTCCTCACCTTTTTACATTTTCAATGTGGTTGTGTAGGTTGAAGTAGTAGCAACAGACTGCTTTGCAGAAGGGCCCTGGAAAAACAACACTAAAATTGACCCTCAGAAGTTCAGTCTGGAATATCATTACAGGACCCAATTTTTCACTCTTCTCTATGTGGACTCACTCTGCAGCGTAACTTTGCAGGGCCCTCCCATGATGGGTGGACTGTACTTCCCCTTCTCCTGACTTTAGTTTTGGCCATGTGACTACTCTGGCTGATAAAATGGCTACTAACAAACACTAGAAATGAAAAATCTGAAAAGGAAATTAAGACAACAATTCCAGGATTTCCCTGGTGGTCCTGTGGTTAAGAATATGCCTGCCAATGCGAGGGACACAGGTTCAATCCCTGGTCTGGGAGGATTCCGCATGCTGTAGGACAGCTAACCCCCTGTACCACAACTAAACTGAGCCCATGCTCCTAGCGCGCATGCTCTGCAACAAGAGAAACCACAGTGAGAAGCCTGCACACTGCAACTAGAGAGTAGAGAGTAGCTCCTGCTTGCCGTAACCGAGAGAAAGTCCATGTGCAGCTACAAAGATGCAGAGCAGACAAAATAATAAATAGCATTTAAAAAGAAAACAATTCCATTTATATGACTATCAAAAAGAATAAAATACTTAACAATAAACTATTTTGCATATAGGGTTATCATTACCATCTTTCTAAATTCCATATATATGCGTTAGTATACTGTATTGGTCTTTATCTTTCTGGCT